GGGGCCGGCGGGCCCGGGCCAGCCCGCGCCGCCCCACTCCAGTTCGGACAGCGAGCGCCTGTGTTGCACTGTACAGACAGACACTGGTTACGACACTGGTTACAGACGGCGCTGGCTGTATGCGAGGCCGAGTACAGTGTAGTATACTGACGTTGGTCGTGGTCGTTGTGTCGCGGGCTGCCCTCGGAGCGGAACCGCTGTGGTCTCCGCCACGCATACAGGCCAGGACACGACCGAGGGCCTGATGAATCTGCATCCTCACTGAAAACATGTTAAGTTATTGTTTATGCCGTGTTGCAAATAATTTACATAGAAATAATTATGACGACGTAGTTGTTTAATTTGACCACAAACCTCTCATGATGGTTGTTAGTACTATGCGAGCCCCAGGTAGCGTCATCGAGGCTCTCCTTCACTTCGGCCAGCTTGCTCACTATTTCTGGGAATAGCGGACGCGCTTTTGGTTCATACTGTAAACACCAAATACCAACCAGTTGAATTCAAACAGATAATCTTGACAAAATATGCAGGAAATTGTTTTGATTTGCAATCAACAGGTAACGCAGTATCGTAAAGAAGTGACTCACGATGCAGCAGTTGAAGGTTAGTCTAAGGAAGTCGGGTACGGTGTCCTCGTCACAGAGCTCCACAAACGCCATGTAGTTGAGGCCGAAGTTGTCCGTGCGGGGGAGCACGTCCGGGTCGGCGTCCACCTGCAATACATCACTTACGACGTTATTATTTGTATTACTGCTTCGCATTCAGAGCTTCAATGTCCTGTAAGGGTCTGAAAAGTAATGCATAATCATTCATCATACATAAACTAACATGTTTAGCTATAGATTTAAACATTGAACAATATCCTACACTTAAACTTGTTGTTGAAAAAGTGAGTTTTCGAAAGGAACCTAGAATGTTCATATTATAAATAGCATAAGGTGGCGTATTGAACTAACCCTGGCGATAAGTTGGCACAGAATGATCCCGTAGGAGAATATGTCTGAGCGATGGTCGTACCACCGTCCGCGAAGACATTCCGGGGACATCCACCATGGAGACCCCACGCTTGGTAGTCTGTAACCGTTCCTGGAAAGAGAAAGAAAAAAAACATTATCACAACTCACAACCAGACCGAAATGGCAACATAGACAAGTAAAGATAAAGGCAAACGGTAAATGTTTTTAATGGCAAGACGATTTAAGAGAAACTTGACGACTTGATGAAGACTGCCTCGTTGGCCGAGTGGTCGCGAGTGCGACTGCCGGGCAAGGGGTCTCGGGTTCGATTCCCGGGTCGGGCAAAGTATTACTGGGTTTTTAAAAAAATCTCAGCACGGAGTCTGGAAATGTGCCCCGGTATATGGCAATAGGCTCACCCCCTATTACATGGGACTCATAACATAGTGAAAAGTGGGTGTTATTTCTGTGTGCAACTCTGCCTACCCCTTCGGGGATAAAAGGCGTGATGTTATGTTATGATTTAAGGGAAATAAATCAGTTATAGGTTCCTTTTTTTAATGAAAAATGTGCACAAATGTATGGATGGCTATTTACTTGTCTTCCTATTATCATCATTATCAACAGTGCATGAAAGACCACAGCCTAAGAGCCTTCTTTACAAAATATGGATCTGCCATGACTTTAGGTGCTACATTTTTGAATATTATTTTACAGATATTTAGCAACGATATTACTATAGTGACACTGAAAATCTAACCTCACACGCGAAATAGCGTGATCATGTCAACCGCAACACTGCAGCTAAGTTTATGACAACTTAATTGTAATAATATTTTTACTAATTACTCCGTAAAAATTGGTGTGGTTGCCAATTAGCGATTTAAGAAACTAAGTTATATAGTTTTTATTTACTCATTTGTTGGTTTCGTTAATTCTGGACACTAAATATGCAATTATAGATTATTTTAATCATATTCATACAATAAATCAGAAGATTTCGTATATTTGAACCTGTTTATCTCTTCCAGATTTAAGCGTCTTCAGAACAACGAAAGAAGTTCTCATTTCATCAGAATAATATATCTATTTAAAAATGGCCCCCGTGTTTCGAAAACGTCTATAAAATAAGCAATTATTTTATTACAGTTACTGCAAATGCAATAATTTTAATACACAATACTGAAGACATGTAGTAATTCGGTATCGTTCGTGTGTACACATTGACACGCGTGCGTGTACGCAACTGCACGCACACACATGAAGCACATAATTTATGAAGAACCAATGTACCATTACTACACTGAGCTTCCTCAATCGGAAAAGGTGTATGTGACCATAATATGTTCATATATTTTAGAAATAAAAGCTTGCAAGATATTGTCCGTAGATAGATGTTGGTATTTTATGAATTTTCATACTGTTTTTACTATGTAATTTCATGGACCCTTTTTTTTTTTGAGGGGGGAAAATCATCCAATGACTTCTCCCGGCCGGGTGAGGCGGGAGGGAGTGTCAGACTCTTACTGACTAAAAACCACCCCGTTCCTACTCCTGTACTTCGAGCCGGAGCCCTGGCAACCCGTTAAGTCTACTGCGGCTCCGTATCGGCATTAGCCCTGTTGGGCTCCATCTGTGGTGGTCTGATGGCTCTTTGAGGCGCGCGCGGAACGCGACGCGCCGTACGCTCGGGCCTGGTTCTGGTCGGGCGGCGAGTCACCCGTGCTCGCCGTCCGCAGGCCTATGCTTACGGTGGTGGCCGGAGATCGTGTCGCGATCCCCGACGCCCGGAATGTCTCTCGCGACGGCCGGGGCGTGAGGAGGTTCGTTCCCTCACGCGCTCCGCCTCCTCCTTAGCTAGCATGACTGCTTCGCGAAAGGAATTTCATGGAGCCTACCGAACTGCACTTGTTTTAAGTTTTGTTGACATGCCAATAACTAGGATCATAATATTAATTTGTTATTACTATAAACTAAAGCTGTTTAGTATATAACAACAACAGAGATTTTTATCGAAGATCTTTGAACACTTTCTTTATCACATCAGTCTTTGAATCAAAATGATTCTTTTATTTCATTTACGTCCAGTTTGGATACGAGCGATGTTCAAATGTAAGTATACTCTTTCTTGTGGTTCTAGGGACCAATCAATCAAAACTGCTTATCCGAAATAAACTTTTCCAAATACATTTTATTTGGTATCTTCTTATACCAACATGGATAGGATACCCACTAATAGGGCCTCACCCTATTAGGAACATGTATCAGATTTTCTAGTGCCATATTCTTATTGAAGCTATTTAACTTTTTAGCTTTGTAATACCTGCGTGTAGGTATGTCGTTGGTGACGAATTAATGTTAATTTTACAATAATGATTATTGCTTGCTGTATATGGATGATCAATTAAAATAAGTTTGATCAGTCTTGTCTATCTAACAATTGCATTTTGACAGTATTATGACTGCTCGGTTGTTGCGGTGGCTGGGCAACCGGCTGCCGGGCAACGTGTCGCGGGTTCGATTCCCGCACGGAACAACACTTTGTGTGATCCACAAATTGGTGTTTCGGGTCTGGGTGTCATGTGTATGTGAACTTGTATGTTTGTAATTCGACACAGGAGAAAATCTTAGCGTGGCGCAACGTTTGTTTAAAATAAAAAAGTTGAGTAAAGTGAGTAAAACATGCTGTACATCTCTTGTTGCTATGTTGGTGGTGGTTTCTAGTCCAGTTATCTTGGCGCTGTGACAAAACACACAGGTGCTCTATCACATAGCTCTTCGACTCCGGTATGTACAATTTCATAATGCACAGACCGATGACCGGTTTTACATAAGTATTGAACGAACTTGGGCAACTGTCTCTCGTACGTTCCTATTGATATTGTAATAGCTTCATTCTATGATCACGTAACGCGGTACTCTCTACGTTTGAATCGATTATTTACGGTCATCTCAAAATGTACAGTTAGGCGATAATGAAGCGATTTGCCGTGTCTGCAAATCGACCAAAGCTGACTGCATGATATCTTTATTTCTCTATTCGATAACCGTTTTATGGTTTGGCAACACGAAATATTTTTCTATTAAAAAAAAAATATTACTGAGGTTTTTGTAAAAATGAGTTGCAAAAGGGTATTTTGCTAAATTCAATATTTTAGTTGTTAATATTCGTTTTCTACAACATATATAAATTATTATGAAAGTGAGTAATATATTTTCGCCTTTATTACAATGCGTGTACATTTAAAATTAGACTGGCGGTGGAAATTGCATCGCATTACGCTTCACCTGGTTTACGTCGGATGTTGATGTTTCAAGTATTATTTATTGCTTTTCTCCAGTCTAGATCAGGCTTTTCTTATTATGAAAACCATAGTTTGAGAATTAATACTTACACAGGATGAGGTATTTTAGCTGCGAGGCCGAAGTCAGCGACAACGGCCATGTAGTCGCCTTCTCCATACTTTCTTAATAATACATTCTGGAAACACAAAATTATTTTTTTACTGAAACGCATCCAATATCTTTCAAACCTTCTATTATCTTATCAAACCTTATATTATAAATTTTTTTCTAGATCTTCTCCCGCTGCCTTTCTTACGTCATTTATTCGAGTCCAGCGTTTACAGTTGAAGTAGTACTAGTTTACTATTTTGTTATCTTACCTTAGTAGTAAGATCCCTATGGAAGACACCGAGGGAGTGTAGGTACATCATGCCTTCTGCTACGTCAGCTGCAAGGGAGACCCTGAGGGGCTGCGGCAAGGGCTCCGGCGGCCGGCTGAGGATAAGCTGCTCGAGGGAACCACCTTCCATGTACTCCGTGAGTGCGTGTAACTGCCCTTCATGTACGCACACGCCCATGAACCTGGAAAACAAATTATTACTATTAAATATAATTAATGAATGAATGATAAACACTAGACTGATTACGAACGAACCGAAATTGTTATTGCACAAAATTGGGACAGAAAAATCTAGTCAAAGTAATTCTAACTGTAACTGTTGGAGAAAATGTAATTATGCTAGTCAGCGCTGCGGCCTAGTCTCAAGCAGTGTTTCTTGGGCAATAAATCAGCAATTAGAGAGGTAAGATAATATATCTGTAAGTGAGAATACGTATCTAATCCCATTAATTTCAGTATCTATGCGTTTAAATTTCACCGCCTTGCCATAGAAAATGAACGTTATTAATTATATTGATTTAAATCACCTGGTTGACAGAAATAATCACTGCCGATGTATGTGAAAACCACATTCAATGAGGGAAAGTGAACCTATTCTTACAAATACAAAAACCATGTGCCATGAAAACCGTGGAAAGCATAGAGAATGTACCAGTTAACACCAGAGAAGCAGCCATTGAAGTGCACCCGTAATAAACCGACGATTGATTGCACCATTGTTATGTTTACAAATGAGGGCATTACAAAAATGATCTTGCATTAATTATACACTCCATTCAAGGCTGCTGGATTAATGCATGACTTGCCTTATAACCCGATGTGTAATCTAGTTTTAATTTTGTAATCAAAATACAAGATGCATTCCGTTAATACTCTCCCACGCGAAATATCAAGGTCGATGCACACAGATGATTAGAAATCCGATTATGATAATAAAGTGTGTTGTGTACACAATGAGCGTCGTGCGAGTATGGTCTCGAAAGTAATTGGGAAAAGATTGGAGATGCCACAATAATGATTCCCAGTGATGCGACCACAATAGATGGCCTCATTGATGCGGACCATCAACCTGCCGTACATTCAACTGAACAAATAGATGTGATCTCATTTGGAACTGTCCGCACAGATATGCTAGACTTGATAGACAAGATACTTGAACTTGAAACACTGTTCAAATATATTCATGAGCACGACAGCCATAACTAATTTTTCCTCGAGTCGCATGTTCATCATTATGCTAGTAGAGTGTCACATTAGCTGAGTGACGTGCCCGGCTATGGTATGTTACATGCTCTTTGTACATCCAAACACTCTATTTACAGTTTTCTTTAGACAGTGATGTCAATTTGTATGCAAAGAAATACAAAAATGTCTCAGTTTCGAAGTCATTATCTTATTGATCACGCAATGAATCAGATGTCAAGGCTTCACTGAATAATCATCTTATAATCAATGCAAATTGCCAATTACAGCTTGGCGTGCAGATATATCAAAGGGGTCTTAATTATAATGAAACTCCCATTGATAATAAGATAAGGTCAAAAAACAGCAACAATCGGGGAGAAAGCAAGTCTATTATTCCTAGGAAGCTGTGTTTACGGGCACGCAATAAGAACACAAGAGTTTAGTTAATTGACACTTTTAGTTTGTTTAATGTCGGTTATCGTTGTAAATTATAGATGATCATCCGAGGTGCGGTCGCGGCGCACGTTGCTCAACCGTTAATCATGTGGCTTTTAATGCTTTTGTATAATTCGACGTTTGGCTCTTCAGAGATTTCTTCACTGGTTCCTAGGTTTTGTAAACTATGTTTTAATAGAGGTATACATTTGTATATGCTTGTATGTGCTACATTAGTTGATGCGAAACTAGAAAGAATGACTGAAAACACAGCTGTGTTAGATGGATGAGAAAGAAATGTAAGACAAACAATCGGAACAGTGCAAGCGTTGTTTTATTTCCGAAGATAAGCAAGCAGGAAATGGGCGAAATGGGGGACAGTGGGTGCTATTGTTTGGTTCATCGTTTTCATTTCGTAATATATTATGCAAACAGAATACAGGGTAACAACAAATACGAAATGTCATTCTCGTAATGCGATATAAAAGACAATGAGTACCAAAAAATGGCCACACGACGGGCGACGTGTACGAGATCAGGAAGTGACAATGTATACGTGTGAATATAATGTATTGTGTGACTTCTGAAAATATTACGTGATTGACTTACAAATAGTTGTATAAAATAGATTTTTATATGACTTTACGAACAAGTATGGACTGGTAATGGAAAAGCAGAAGTTTTACGCTGTTTTAAGTTTAATTGTATAAAAATAATAATCAGGACTAAAAACTTGGTTCTTACCTTTGAAGTATACAATAAAATAAAGTAATTTAATAAAAATGTAATATGTAAAATAATCATTAATTTATTTCAACACCGAAAAATATCAATTCTTAAATAAATGTATTTGCTAAGTATTTAAGTATCCGCGGATTATAAATCTAAGGATGTCGTGTAGGTAGAATTTGATAGTTTTAATTAATTGGATATTAATTTATGGCTACCATTTACCACGGTAATAAATTAATACGAATGTGGTAACATTCTAAAGATTCCAGATAATTTATATTATTAAAAGTAGTACAACTTACATAAAGTATTATGGGCATTAATCACTTGAATGCGATGATATGAGATATAATAAAAAATATATCGTGTCTCGCGTGGGTACACGTTTAGACACACAACGGGTTAAAGGTAACGCGGTGTACGAAGGAGCCACAAAACTACATGTTAGGTATAAAAGCTCAATATCAATTTTACTTATAAAAAAGTTAGGTAAACACAATAAACGCAGCGCCCCGTTCATGACGTAATGTACAACAGGCTTCAGTTGTTTGGTTAGCAAACATTGGCACAAAGGGTCGGTCGGCCAACGAATTTGTGTGCCAACAGTGATCCGCAGCGAGGGTTCTCGCACCATTCCACGCAGTAGTATATAATGTGATTACCCCAGTATTTATGAAAAATATATTCCGTGGAAAAGCGCTGAATTGATATTATTAATATAATCACGAAAATAGTGCTGCGTGTGTATGAATTCTTTTTAAGGGGGGAAAATCATCGAATGACTGCTCCCGCCTGGGTGAGGCGGGAGGGAGTGTCAGACTCTTACTGACTAAAAACCACCCCGTTTCTTCCCCTGCACGTCAAGCCGGAGCCCCGGTTACCCGTTAGGTTCTCCGCGACGTGTGTGTATGAATAGGAACAACATAACGAAGAAGAGGAGAGTATAAAGAGAAGAAGAATAATGTAAGAGGATTGCCATCATTCTAAAGCATTCTTAATGAGGAGTAATCATTAATAATCCAAGTATTAAAGGTAACGCGGTAAGGTAACTGGTCGTCAAAATATCAAAATTATTATATTATGCAGGCACAATATACTAATGCGTCAACCATCTTAACAAAAATCTTTATATTTTCATAACCGTATATCGGAATTTTGTATGCAAATATGTAATTGGTAGCCGACACGAAATGTTTATAACATATTGTTGACCTTTCCTTTAATATTTACGCCATGATTCATTGTTCACACTTAAATAAGAGGAGAAATTTTTATAATGTGATAAATTCAACTCAATAGGTCCTGTAGTGCAATTCACACTTGTCTTGGTTTAATGACAGCTCGATAGTGTGCCAACCATAATACGGTATCTGGTATTAATGCTGTATGTAGGTAAACTGTACATTTATTATACAAAATAAAAAAGTTGATAGAACAAAATTAAAATACAAAGAACATTAATGTTTACTTATACACTTGAAATAGTGTAAACGACGACAAGTCAACAAGAAAGTAGAGATTTGTTTAAGAGAACAGCGGAACTCAGTGCAAGCTAGCTCGGTTAGACTGCATGGTTTGTCTCAGAACAAACGGATAACAAGTTTGTCATTTTGGCTGAATCCGGATCCGCATCCGAAACAACTTTTCCGTTAGTTTTGTGTTTGTAAACTCGAAAGCCTGCAACCCAACAGTAATTTGTGATCCAAAGTACGCAAAACAAATCCTAAATCTCGTCCCCTATTGTATGAAGTAAATTAGGTTATCAATGGAATTTGTATACTAGACATTTCTGCCAACTCCCTTGGACAGAAACGGGGCGACATATAACGATTGTTACATCATCCAAACCATTACAGAGTAGCGCCACATAAAATTTACATGCGGCCGGCTAAATAAACTAATTAAATTAAATTGAAGCTCGTCATAAAAGTAATGAAACAGCATATTTTAAACATTACGTCTAGTGGTCTCGAAAATACACAACTTTTGTTAAAAGCGAGTAATTAAATCCTACAGACGAATATTTTGCCAAACGAGTTTGTGCTGGGAAAATAATCGTAAACAGTTTTGATTGCTGTGGTTACAAAGTCACGTATAAAAACACTGATGGTACAAAAGATTCACACTTTACGCATTCGTTTCCTTGCCAGAATGCTTAAAATCAAGGTGATCTGGCTTTATCTGTCTGGACGTGTGATTCCTCAGGTTTTTTATGCCATCTTTTATTTATCTTATGTCTTTCAAGATTATCTTTCTTGGCAGGACAAAACACATTTCATGAATGTTGTGGGATGCCATGGCTCGGCCAAATTACTGGCGATATTATTGGCGCCGCAGTATTTTATAAAGGAGTCCTCCCAAAGAAGGACGTTTACATAAGCCACATGATCCAAAAACATTCAAAATAAATACTCTGCGTTAAGGATTGGAACAAACGCAAAAGTTAGTATTAATTAAATACAATAAAATTGACGTGGGAAGGCAATTTACTTTGAATAGACGTTTCAGAATAGTAATATGAAATAACTTGAAAACTAATTGTAATAATAGGGAAAGGCGAAAATACTTAACTAACAAGAAATAGTTTGGTTGCAACATTGTGTACAAAACAATTTCCTAGCGTTTCCTCTAAGTGAATGAAGTTAGACATAACTTGTACGTGTATTATAAACAAATAAAGTAGTTTTCGCATTCCCAGACAGCAGGCGCACTGTAGTACAATGTGCTAAACTGAGCGGAAGAAGTAGGTACTTACTCATAGGGATGTTTTACAGTTCCTTTCAAGGAAATATAATAATAATAATAATGGTTTCCTATGTTACTTAGTTTACCATGTTGGTAAAGTGGCTAAAATGCAACGCATGAGAGCAAAATAGATCAATAGTGGAATACACTCTATTACAGGGTTTTGGATTTATCCAATAAAAACACTCAGGGCCGATTTTACATTCATCAGTTAATTCTTAACTGTAGAATAAAATTGACAGTTGACAGTTTTTAGTATGGAAGAATTGTCAAATATTAAAAGTTTTCCTCAGTTAAAATTTATTTGAGCATTGAAAAATTGGCCCTAAATGTGAATGTACTCGCGTACCTGACATGTAACTAGACTTATCACTGATGAAAATGCAACACAAACATTGACGACAAAAATTATCGCCTTACAACATTTTGTACGTTTGGGGAATAAAAAGCGTAGTGTGATGTTGCTAAGTGTATGAGACAAAGCCCATTAAACAGTCCCCAGTGAAATCAGTTAAATATAGCTGCGTCTCAATAATCCCGCAGTCAGACATATGATCCGCTGACGTCATTCATACAATTAGTTACAATCGTGTTCCTTGTTCGATGCCTACGTCATAACTTCATAAGATGGGTTGCAAGTCAGGATTTAACCTTGCTCAAAGATTTTTGTACAAAATGTCAAATTATTTATGACTTTTTGATTGATAATTATTTCTTTCTTTATTAGGCGTTTCCGCATAATTCGTTAAAGATCAATAAAAATGATTTAGCGATGTTTTAATTTGGTGGATTTTACAACTTACAAATTACGAAACTTTGATGTAGGTAGAGATAAGCCTTCAAAACTTAGTGTGTTGTTACGAAGGGTCTGGATTTTTTTTGTAATTATTTAATCTAGACTTGCAAACGGAGTAGGAAAGATTTAAAATCGTAGACAAGGTTCACTTGGTTATATGTATAGTTTCCTGTTTTATTGATTCAGACATTTTCATTATTCTAGTACGATTAGTCCTGCACGATCATTATTTATGAATTACTAAAGATCTCCTAGCAGTAGCGAAGGTTCCTAGCAGCGGCTAAAAGCCGCTAATGATGTATTTAATGATTACTGATCTTTCCGACCTTGCTCTCCATCTGCAACGTTCTTGATACTATTAACCTTTACTAATATATGGTAATGCAAGTAGGTATTAACATCTTGTCTCATTCTGATCTCTTCCACACTAAGTCTTCTTAACAAAATGTCAGTGCATATCGAACGAACAATCCTTAAAGAAGATTAAAAGTAGAATTTCTAAACAAAAGAAAAATGCCTTGAAAAGTTTCTTAGAAGTAGAAACGAACAAGATTATTGTTTTATAGCAATTAAGTATAAGGACGTAGATTGATGGCTCCTTGAGTAAACCTCTCAGCCCATAATTAGAAACTCGGGATTTTGTAAAATTCCAAAGAGAAGAAAATAATTGCCAAAATTGAGAACAGGCCATAGTTAACAAAACGATACGATATTCTATTTCGTTTTAATATTTAACACCGTATGTTGCTACTGCGCATTTCAAAATGGCATTAAATAAATATGCAAATAATGTTAATTCGTTACAATTTAAGCTTGATTTCATTTAAACTTTATTATAAGGAACATCATAAATTATTTGAATGCTACACTAGTTCACATTATCTGGCTATGCGTGTACAAACGTACGTATTTACTAGTTTTATCATTTAGAGCAGTTATTGAGAGATGATTTATTGTCGATTTAAGATTTAGTAATGAATGTAATGCATTGAGCACTTGTAGTGATATTGTGGAAAGTTTTAGTGTAAAGACAGAAGTGCGTGTATTGTCTATACCCAAATGTTATAAGTCCCATATAATAGAGGACCATGCTACTATTAAGAAATTCCTAAAATCATTCAACATTATAACTTTGCCTGGAAACTTCTGTTAAATAAAAAAAATTCGAAGGTCAAGTTTCCGTTAATCGTGAGTATTTTTAAAGTTCCTCATCCTTGGAATTTTGAATAAAACATGAAGTGGAACAATGATTCGGTTAGACAAAGAAGTCTGCCGGCATGTCCCTTTGGATCCGCCTCGCTGCCTGGCACCCTCCTGACCGTTACATTTTATATTCTTTAGGAACTCAAATATTTGTCAAGTCTCCCATGACTTGAACAAATGTTGCTTCAACAAACATACAAACAAAATGTTACATTTCAAACTTATTTTAGTATTTAATTAATATCTGCGTCTGATTTATGTTATCATCCAAATGTTTCCGGTGACATATTAGGTAGGTATAATTAGCATTTTACGATATACATTCCTACAGCATTTTTTAGATCAATGGATGTCCAAAAAGTGACTAGATGGCCTTGCGAACTAGATGCTTGCGTCGATTCGAGTATTTAGGATGATTGATTTTCCTTATATTTGTGTTAATTAGTAGAGCCTCACCCTAAGTAGCCTCAGTCACTATTTACAAGTCATGACATCGATTAAAACCTCATTTCCGACCTGTCAACTTCTTTGCAGAGGGGAAGTGTATGACATCGCCGCTCAAACGTTACGTTATGAGTTTGCACCCTGTAACTTACTAGATAAGCCTTCGGGGTTATCCGCTTAACTTGATTAACGGGGATTTTATAATCCTGTTTCCAAACAGCGAATTTCTTTGTTACGTTTTCTGAATAAAAGTTATGTGATTATGGAAATAGCAATAAGACTTCTATGTAAATAATTGGATATCAGTGAAAACACGGTAAAGAAATTAGGGTAGAAAACAGTGTAAATTCGGAGTAAAACCTCCAAAATAGTAGTTTAGATACCCGGTTCAGTCCATATGCCTTTTGTTCACGTGTGCCTAATAATTTTGCAAACCGTAATGAAACTTGGAAACAAGGTTAAGTAATATTGATGAGACTTACCCGAGTATGTTTGGATGTTTGAGCTTGTTCATGAGCTGCACCTCTCGTAACATGTTGGGCCTGTTGGCACGTTGCTGGTTCATCTTGAGCACCATCACCTTGCCGGACGTCTTATTCGTAACCTGTAACAAACAGATAAACATTTAGAACTTAGTGACAAAGAATTTGTATTATCTGTATGTGATCTGCAGTGTTAGGCAGCGAAAATATTTGGTACACATTATAAATTGCCTTTTAATCTAGTCTGTTGAAGTTGAAGTAACAAAGGTATTTGATGACTTCTGAAATACTAGTAAATTAAAACAATACCCATAACTTATCATCAAAAACGAATAAGACGTAGAGATTGTACATTGAAATTGAATTAGGAGATTTAACAGATTGTGGAGGATATCGCAAGATGTAGAAAACAATTTAATTTCGATATGTATCAGAAATGTTTGATATTTTTTCCCTCTTAAAACAGCCAATGACAAGAACGATAGCAAAATCTGACGACCTTTACGAATGGAATAGCACCAAAAGAACAAAACAGTTTCATCAAGTATAAGTCTGATTTGTAAAAAGCATATCTTAATGTAGCTAATTCGGATGATGACAGGGTATGAAATTAAAAATCTAATTAGACCGTAAGTTAGGTAATGAAAAAATATTAGACACGTATTTTTTTATTTTGTCGTATAATAAAACAATACTTAGATAAAACGAATTAAAGTTTAGGAGTGGGGCTAAAACGTCATTTCTACGTATAAAATGTACATAGAAGTGACGTCACGCGACATTTCAAATCAATATATCGTAGAAACTATTCGTTTCTGTAATAAAATAAAAAATACGTGTCTAATGATTTAAAATAATCTACCAGACGGACATTTTAATAAAAATTAGGCATCTACCCTATTGCATCAATTTTTCTACTTTCAACAAGTTACATGAATATATTCGCAGCATCAGTTTCCGTGCATACCGTGAACAATGCAAGTGTTTGTATATAGTATGTAGGCTGCATAGGCCGCTTCGTGCTCCCGTCTAGATTGGATTTCTAGTTTTCTAGACTGCCGTTCGAATTAACTGTAACCGTGCGTTACGATGCCGTGATGTTAAATATTGGTTTACCTTTTAACACATTGTTGTTAGGACTTTCTAAGAAGAAAATTAAAGGGCACTTTTTACTAGAAGTCAAAGTGTGTATTTCAATTCGAGTTAATTTTTTTTTAATAAAAACGTAGCCACCCATTAGGATTTTCTCCTGTGTCGTGTTTACAAACATACAAGTTCACATACACAATGACACCCAGACCAGAAACCACAATTTGTGGATCACACAAAGTGTTGTTCCGTGCGGGAATCGAACCCGCGACACATTGCACGGCAGCCGGTTGCCCAGCAACCGCACCAACTGTGCAGTAGTTTGTTTTTTATTATTATATTTCGTTTATTACAGCAAAGGTAGAAGAAGAATCTTTTAAAGTTTTCAGATCTATAAAAGAAAGTCGTGTTAGTTACACTATTTATAACTCAAGAATGGCTAAATCGATTTGGATTAAAATTGGTAGGGAGGTAGGTTAGAGTCAGGAGACGGACATAGGATACTTTTTACACAATACTTTTTTTTACTTTTTACCGAAAATCAAGAACGGGAACGGGAAATATCGGGATAGCGCGTACGAAGTCGCTAGTTTGAAATAATTGTCAGGTGTTGTTATAGTACGTAACTAAAAATTTCATTGGATATAATCGAAATGGTGTTCATATTCTTCATACCTACCTGTAAATGTACAGGACTGGATCCAGACAAGACATTTCGAGTAACCCAAAAAAAAGCATTGTTAGCATATTATTAAGGCTTATATTTATTTATTGCATACAAAGTATAATTTAAGAGTTTCCATTATCAACGTGTACTTGTTTTAATCTAGATAACGGTTATATGTAAGTCAATAGAAAATGTTTATTCTAGCCAATACAAAGAATTTCAAGGAGAAAGATAAAGTTTTGAAGGTTTTATTTCAAACGTACATATATATATTAATAAAAAAATGTATATTTTTTTAAGCAGCAAACATTTGAAATCGACCCTCGAATAGAATAGGTATAGGCATTGTGATCCTTTTAACATCACTGAACATACATACATACGAATACATGAAAAAAGTAGTGCAAAAAGCAAAATTTAAAGATTTGAAACCTAGATGTGAACTCAAGGTGACGCGACCGACTCACGAAGTTAATAAGCGAATAATTATGTTTACAAAGAACAAAACATCAATTTTAAACTAAGGAAGATAAATGACTCACTAGTATCATTATTTGTTGAAAATATATAAACGCCAAGGCTGTTTAACTTACATACATAATCTCATGCCTGTCTACCATGGGGTAGGCAGAGACTATGGAACGCCAATTGCTACGATTCTTACTTACCTCTTTCGCTTCATCAACAGTGATCAGTCTGTACATGTATACTTTGAAACTTCACATTCCTATTGAGAATATTGGCTAATTGATTCTAGTCAAAATATGTCGGTTTTTGAGCTTCAGCTTCAGAGGTTGGACCAGCTATATTTTATGTTTCGGTAGCGCCATCTAATACATGCAAATATATAGTAACTAGCGACCCGCCCCGGCTTCGCATGCATGCAATGTGCATGTAGTATACATATAAAACATTGTTAAGAATCACTATACGTTAAAAAACCGCATCAAAATCCGTTGCGTAGTTTTCAAGAATATTATATATATGGACAGACAGATGGCGGATAGCGACTTAGTTTTATATTATGTAGTGATGGTCTATTAATTTTCCTACGCTTTGTTTATTTACCAAAAATGTATTTGAATTTGATCAAACAGAGTTTTTTTACGTGCTATCGTAGCATTACTTATTTGATGAATAGTTTTTCACCCTACACGGGGAAAATTTAGCACATTTTCACGTAACAAGAAAACGAAACATCACTTAGCGCCCCCTTCGGTTATGGCGGCGTGACGGTAAGACGCATTAAATAACCATTTATATTGTGTCTACTATACACAGTATACATGTTTATTTCGTATTTCCTACCCATTTTGATATTTATGATTGGAATGGATACAGTTTTGGGGAAGTTTCCTGTTTTTGTCGTTTTTGTTTAGCAACTTTTTGTTGAAGGTTGAAGACTTTTGTTGGTAAAAGTTCTTACGGAATAGTTTCTCGACTTCTGTTGCTAAGTTGTCTTAGGGTTTGTAATGAATGGCAGATTACACGGAGCTAATACAAATTACTTATACATATAATATAATATTAATTACTTTTACGACTGTACGGTTGGTGCGGTGGCTGGGCAACCGGCTGCCGTGCAGCGTGCCGCGGGTTCGATTCCCGCACGGAACAACACTTTGTGCGATCCACAAATTGTTGTTTCGGGTCTGGGTGTCATGTGTATGTGAACTTGTATGTTTGTAAACGCACCCACGACACAGGAGATAATCCTAGTGTGGGGCAACGTTTTTTCTAAAAAAAAAAAAAAAAACTTTTGTAATTAGTTTTTTTTATGGGATAAGCCGTTACACGAGCAGACGGATCACCTGATGGTAAGCAATCGGCGCCGCCCATCTACACCCGAAACACTAACGAGTGTGTAACCGGCCTTTTGGGGGTTTCAGGTATTGGGGAGGGGGTAATTAGGCCTCCAGTAACTATAGGTTATATGTGAGGCCGTGGTATCACTCCGCTCGAGCCGGCCCATTCGTGCCGAAGCATGGCTCTCCCATACTTAAATAAAACATGCGGAATATATGTCAATAACCCTATATTCGTTGTTTACGATACTTAGATGCAGATTTACTCCTTAAGATAACAGTTTCTATATCTTTTGCCTTAAATTAGGTCTTAAACATACTTCAAGGTTTTTCTTTTAATAATTGCGTTTATGAAGGTAATAACGAGATCGAAAGATATGACAAATACCTTACACTGCAGGTATAAAGATGGCATCTAGGAGGTGGCGGGATAAAATTGGATACTAACAGTACAAAATAGAACCAAGTTGAATGATTTGAAGGAGGCCTACACGACATTGGTTGAAAAAAGCTTGAGATGATGATGATGATCCTTACTAATATTATAAACTGGAAAGTGAGTTTGTTTGTTTGTTCCGCTTTCACGCCGTAACTACTAAACCGATTGCTTTGAATTTTTGCAGACATAAAGTCAAAATCTGGATTAAATAATAGGGTACTGTTTATCCCGGAAAAATTGATATTCCCGAGGGAAAACAAAAGTATTAGCATAGATGGCGCTGTGTGTATTGGTGTATGTCACATATGCTACTTTTTATCCTTATGCGACGCGAGCGAAGCCGCGGGTAAAAGCTAGTATAGATATAAAAGAATTAACTTCATCTAGAGAAAAGAACATACCTAGTTAACTATTTATCTTATGTGGGGAACATATTAAATTCATAACTTATTTCGCCATGATATCAAAGAGGTCCCAAGTGTCATGGTGATCTACTCTCGCTTGTTCATTACGACATCTTAGTCTTGACCATATTACATTTGTATGCAAAATTACAACAATTTACATTATATTGGTGTTGTTTTGTTTAAATGTTGTAAAATACTTAATTTTGGGTAGGTCATGAGTTCATGATTGGAATATGTTACCATTGAAGTAGAATATTTGGTTAGAAAAACGCTTCACAAGGACCTTTCAATACCTATAATGACAGTTATTTCTTCATTTCTTATAGTTTCTTTAAAATTGCATACAGTAAGAGTATCAACCCTATTTGAAAATAGGCTTAAGCGAGAGAAGAAAGTGTATCAATACATTTGTGAACGCCTACAAATGCTCATATACGTATGAATGGGTTTAGAAAATCAGTATACTTATATTACCACTATTTCCGCGCGGTTTTACCCGCTCTGCTCAGCGCCTATTGATTATAGCGTGTTGTTTTATAACCTATAGTCTTCCTCGATAAATGGGCTATACAAATTAAAACGATTTTTTCAAACAGGACCAGTAGTTCCTGAGATCAGCGCGTTCAAACAAAGAAACAAAGAAACAAAATCTTCAGCTTTATAAAGTAGGTAGTATAAAATTATTTAAAGCTGAATAGTTTGCGTCCGTAGCTAGAATATACTTATTGTAATATAA